AGTGGTTCTTTAAAAGAAGACATTTGTATGTATTTCCCATAGGGTCCTATGTTAAACTAAGTCCCCCGCTGGCGGCCATCTTGGATGATGGACCGACTGCAAAGTAACAACACTTGGTCAGCATCTCATAAGGACCATCCATGCCATGTTTGGTTTCATTCCATTCACTGGTTCTCTAAAAGAAGACATTTGTATGTATTTCCCATAGGGTCCTATGTTAAACTAAGTCCCCCGCTGGCGGCCATCTTGGATGATGGATCGGCTACAAAGTAACAACACTTGGTCAGCACCTCATAAGGAACATTCATGCCATGTTTGGTTTCATTCCATTCAGTGGTTCTCTAGAAGAAGTTAAAAATGTAAAAAGTTAACGACGACGACGGACGACGACGGACGACGGACGACGGACGCCAAGTGATGAGAAAAGCTCACTTTGCCCTCTGGGCCAGGTGAGCTAAAAATTGGTCATATTTGATGTCAGTAATCATGTTAAATCAAATTTTTTGGATGAACAAGTCTGTTTATGGGAAATTTCAGCTCTTAAAATTGACACAATAAGGTATTTTAGTCTTTTATGGTCATACAACATGCATGCAGTTAAGACTTGACCCCAAGTTCTTATTTTTGCATCATTTGGGATTGAAATCAATAAAACATGTATGTTATGACTTATTTATTGTAAAAAAATTTGCTCTTGGTCAAATAATCCTATGATTTTTCAAGTTTTATTGGTTTTCTTATGGTAGCCTTTTACAATCTAGGCAATTGGTATATACTCATATAAGAATTCCAAAATCTCACTGTACATGCAATTTTGAACCAGTTCAGCAAGTTATCCAGCTTAGGGATATATCAATTGCTCTTAATAATCTATGTTGTACCACAGAAGTATGGTTTATACCAAAAATGTCCCTTTTCCAATTTGAAAAAAGGGGGGTCAATATTCTCAATTATGTCTTAGGCTTGGACTAATATATTTTTATTTAATGAAAAACCTCTGATAAAAATATGACTATTGGTAAGAAAAATAAAAATCCTTTATGTTACTAAAATTTTTATAAATGTACTGCTGTTGAGTTATTGTCTTTTAATCCCATTATTCGCCCATAGTTTTCCGTATGCAGTGACCTTAACTACGTGACTTCCCGTTAAAAGGTCAGCCACACTACAGCGCAAGTGGGAGGGAAAACCGTGATGACAGAATGTAAACTAACGTGCACTGGAAGGTAAATAGTAAAAATGGATTCTTAAAGAACAAATAAAATACACCAAATCATTTAACAACTGTTACGAAAAATAAAGGCAACAGTAGTATACCGGTGTTCAAAAGTCATAAATCGATTGAGAGAAAACAAATCCGGGTTACAAACCAAAACTGAGGGAAACACATCAACTATAAGAGGAAAACAAAGGAACAGCAGGAACACCGAAGTGCAACAAAAACAAACGCAAACACACACAGAAACAAACTATTTGATAACAACTGCCATATGCCTGAAAATAAAAATTGATAAACAAATGGAACGCATGGAAAATATGAAAATAGGTATCATTGCTCTATCAAATGACTTTTTCTTGTTATGTGCTCCACGATTCTGTGTTGATTGTTTATCAAAGTCACGATCCGGTAAACTTCGGTAACACACTCGAAAGTTAATAAACATGAGATCAACATTCACTGAATGAAAAATTATTTATCGATAATACGTTCTAGATTAATAATAAATGTAAAAAACGCGTACAGAGGACTTAGTTTAGTATTATATGCATTCATTAGTCAATAATGTTCTGAACATTTTAATTTCAAGAAATTCATTTCATATGACTTTAAGAAGTGCAGAAAAATTAAAACTTACTGCTAAAAATAACCGTGCAATCATTTCATAAGGTTAAAAAACAATACCCTTCAAAATCCACGGAACAGTCAAAATGTTGAATACATAAATGTTCTATCTTATGCCTGTAAAAATGAAAAAGAAATAAGGAACAATGAAAACCATAAATCAAAGACAACAGACAATACGATAGCTATAAAGATATTTGAGGAAAAGACAAACAACAGTCAACAAAACAATACACAAAAGACTAAACCGCAAGGCAACATGAGCTGTTCAAATCATCCGTAATATTAAGAAAACCGGAAAACTTGTTTTTTTTACAAGTGAGATACAGGTTAGAATAATATTTTTTCTTCAGCATTACAATTTTAATACTTCTTGATCTGACTTTCATGGCTAGTTCCTGCATTAGCTGATCCGTGTGGTCTATTGGTAGGGTCCTCGGTGGCCGAGTGGTCTAAATAGTCAAGCTACTGTTTCACTTGCCAGTCAACACTGAGGCTTTGAGTTCTAATTCCGCACGGGGCAGGTGCACTCGACTCCAATCTTAACAGACTAGGATTGTCAGTTTTCCTACCGAAGGTCGGTTGTTCTCTCCAGGCACTCCGGCTTCCTCCACAAATAAAAACTGACCGCCACAAAATAGCACAATAATGTTGAAAGTGACGTTAAACACCAATAAATCAATCAATCAATCGTCTGTTGGTAGCACCGGGGTTGCAAACTATAGTCTGTATCATAAATTGGAATGCAAAATACTCAACATACTGTAAATATATATTCTCTTATTTCTTATTCGTAAATTTTCTCAAAATTAGATGCAAACATTTTATTTTTAGTGTGATGATCTGAACCTGTAGGTTATAATGGAACAAGAATAAATACGCTCAAAGGAAACATAAATATATATTTTTACAGTTTTATTAAGAATGCAATCGTTGAAATTTAGATTTACATTAAGGCAGATATAATGACGAAGATGTTCTGGTCCTGCAGAGATGCTAGAGTAAATACTAACAATGATTGAGTCACAGCAGTCCTTCTTCATTAGTAAAATCCATTATCATTTGTTTCAGTTGATAAAATGAGTATGTGTATCAATGTCAGTTGGTCACTAAATCTGAACATCATTTCTTTTTAAAATTTAGTATATTTGTGAAATTAACTTGATAGTTTCAAGTTTTAAGTTTACATTTTAGTAAACAGAAGACATAACCAAATAATGTTCAACTAAACAAACTTTATCCTTGTAGTTTTTCAGTATACAAAATGGGGCCAAGGGGACAAAGAGACTTGGAATTTAGATCTTTTTCACCCAAATTGGTTGTTTTGTGGGGTATTTCTTAGTCAAACAGTAAACTATTCTTCAAACACTTCTAAGGATTGCTTTCTTATAAAAATTATATGACAATTAATCCACCATTTTCGACATAAGGAAATGCCTGTACCACATCAGGAATATGACAGTTGTTTTCCATTCGTTCGATGTGTTTGAGCTTTTGATTTTGCCATTTGATAAGGGACTTTCCGTTTTGAATTTTCCTTGGAGTTTGGTATTTTTGTTATCTTATTTTTTAAAATGAAAATAGAAGAATGGCAGAGTGTTATTTCTATTTCTACAATCTTACTATAAAGTTTGTTTTCTATTGTTTAAAAAATAGAAAGTTCTTCCTTTTGGATGCATAATCATTAAATATTGTAATTGTACAGCTTTTTTCATTTTATTCTAAAACTAGTAGTCACTTATGATTTTGAATAAGATGGAGGGAGGTATTAAGTAAGGTGTACTGGATTCTTTTTTTTTATTGAATCTTATCAAACGAGCATAAACAATACTAAGCAACTGATCTGAACACCAATCAAATCAAAATTTTTTTACACTATAACTGGATAAAAGAAATTTGGAAAATAGCAAGAAGTAGTTAAAAAGCAAGACAAAAAAAATCTGAAGGAGTGACTATTGTCTGAAGGTGTGAGAATTTTACTGCCGATGATTTATTTTACCCATGTATTTTTAATCGGAAAAATAATGATATTTGGGGAGTTCATTTTGATTTTTCATAGTTTACACATAACAAGCCCAGTTTTTTAAAATTAATTTGCAGTATATGTACACGATTTAAACATTCTTTGAGTTTGCATTCGGTTAATTGTTTGTCTTCGATGTGTTTCGTATTTCCCTCTGTGCACCTCTCTGGTATATTCATACTTTTACAAGGTTATATCAAAGAATTGGAGTAATAACTATTCCTTCTCTTTATCTTGACTGGATATCTTCGTCTCTAATAACTTTACCGATTCGACATTGGAATCTCAGATGTTGTACGTTTTTAAAAAAAGTGTGTCATGGAAAATACAGTTGAACTAAAAAATACGGTGTCAAAATGGGCTTTTATGACGGCGGTAAAATGTTCACTAGTAGTTTAAAGTTCTTCGCTACAATGTCCTCCGCCTGTTGTCCTGAAGATGTGTGTTGTTTTCAAAGTCTTTTTTGTCGTCTGGACGACGCATTAACGGATATCCCACAACTCTTAACTTCAATCGATTATAAAGCTGAAAATCTGTATTATAGAGGTAATTGTATATTTTTTCAGATTTAGTTAGGGTCAGGTAATTCCAAATTATCGTCTTCTCTGTTGCTCTATTTTCCCTAGAGCATCCCCAGTACCTGATGTCTGTACAAATATTTGTGATTCCGTATCTACGATGAGTTAATATGATACATTACACCGGAAATTTAACTTCAGAAACAAACGTGGTAAAGTAACCAAATGACAAGGAGAGAATTCAACTGACATATCCAAGATGAAAAATATATGCTAATGACATTTATATGCTTTACAAAAGATTTTTTTGGTGCATTATTAATGAATTAAAATTTTTCAGGATATCTGTCTACGTAGTATAAGTTTCTCTGATAAAATTTAGAATAGAAATGGGGAATGTGTCAAAGCGACAACAACCCGACCAAAGAGCAGAAAACAAAGAGCAGAGACCAATGGGTCTTCAACACAGTGAGACAATCCCTCACCCGGAGGCGGGCTTCAGCTGGCCACTAAACAAAAATGTGTACTAGTTCAGTGAAAATGGACGTAACACTAAACTCCGAAATATATAATAGAACTAAAATTAAGAAACATACAAGACTAACAAAGGCTAGAGTTTCCTGACTTGGGACAGGTGATGGCTATGTTTATAAATTTCATCAGCTTTTAAACGATTTGCCACTCCTTCTCCATCAAACGATTTTCCAATATTACTTTGATTCCATGTGTTGCCCTCATAATCAGTTCTGGATTGATTTCATAATTATGGCCATCTACCAATGATACTTTGTATCTAAAATAAAAATTAAACAATTCTCATTAATTGATATAATTAATTCATTTATTATATACTTAGTAGTAAATACAGATAAATTGTATGTGTAATACAATCATTGGCAAGCGTGCTGTATTAGCCACCCGTGATGATATCGATATCAGCACGGTTGCAAAGGCTTTATCACACCTTTAATCTGTATGACGTCACGTCATCGATTGCAGTCACTGTTGCAAACCCTAATCTGTATGACGTCATGTGAAACCTATAATCTGTATGACGTCATTTCAAACCTCCTTATCTGTATGACGTCATGTCACATAAAAAGCATCTACGTGAGATATATAGAGAATATCATATGGCTTATTCAATATCACATCCGTATCAACCCAAGACAGCAATATAATCCAAAGAGCTCTGCTCGAGGGATTATATTGGTTGAGGGTTGATACGGTGTGTGATATTGAAAAAGCTATATCATATACACTTTATTATATACATATACCTCACGTAGATGTGTTTAATGTGACATGACGTCATACAGATAAGGGGGAAAGAAATGACGTCATACAGAATAGAGGTTTGACATGACGTCATACAGATTAGGGGTTTGATAAAGCCTTTGCAACAGTGACTGCAATCGATGACGTGACGTCATATAGATTAAAGGTGTGATAAAGCCTTTGCAACCGTGCTGATATCGATATCATCACGGGTGGCTGATACAGCACGCTTGCCAATGATTGTATTACACATACAATTTATCTGTATTTACTACTAAGTATATAATAAATGTATTTATCATATACTTGTATAAAATATTACTAAAATTTTACAGTTCAATAACATTTAAAAATATCAAAAGGCTATGAAAGGATTACTAGGTTTATTGATCAGATTCCTAAGAATTTCCTCAGCGGGCTGAAAAAGGAACCTTTATTGACTGCTTCCGGAATGTTATCGCATGCCTTTCCGTTAATTTCCGTGACGTTTATCACATGCAACGTCGTGCATTTCCGGAAATTTGTTCGAAAACGACAACACAGAGCGGAAAACCGCAAGTGATTTAAGACTTTTCACAAAATGTTTGAGGAGCATATTTTCAAACTAAGTTCATGATAACTGTTGTGACAAGATAAATAAAATGCTTGTAATATCAATAAAAATAATTAAAGTTAAGAAATTTTTATTTGGTTGTCTGTAAATTATTATCTAAAAATTCATGGAAAGACAAAATTTTAATTAATAGTTCTTGTCTGTGTTTCTTCTGTTGAAGTATATGATAAAAAGATAATTACATGTCATTTATCATATCAGACCCTTTATCGGCCCTCGTTCATGATATCAGCCCTCGAGCCTACGGCTCTTGGGCTGATATCATGACTTAGAGCCGATAAAGGGTCTGATATGAAAAATGCCATGTAATAATCTATACATAATAAAGTGTATATGATATGAGCAGAGCTCTTGGGATTATATTGGTGTCTCGGGTTGATACGGATGTGATATTGAAAAAGCCATATGATATTCTCTATATATTGCTACCCAAGAACTTTTGTTGCACGATATCCTTATCTTACATATAAGAAAGTAGGTTTTATTCTAAACGGGAATTTAAATTCACTGATATATAGTTTTTTTACCAGAACTGATGATGCAGAATAACGGAACATTAAGGGGAAAATAAAGGAGGTCAAATTATGATCCCCCCTTGTAGCATTAAAATATCAAAAAAACGTTATAAAAATCTCAATATACTCTATCATGTAGAAATTTACTAAATTTAGCATCATGAGTCCACTTTCCTGCACAAATTTGGTAATATTATTTTTGACCAAGACACGATGGTCAAAAAGTAAAAGAACAAAAATACCGAACTCCAAGGAAAATTCAAAACGGAAAGTCCTTTAACAATTGAACGAATGGAAAACAGCTGTCATATTCCTGACTTGGTACAGGCATTTTCTTATGAAGAAAATGGTGGATTTAACCTGGTTATAAAGCCATTATGTATCCGGACTTTTTCGTAGCGTCGGGTTTAATCAATTCTAAGCAAGTAAGCAATTTCTTGCATTTCATATCGTGCGGCGTTTCATGATATGTGTACATCAACTTCTCATTTACTGCTACTTGTCTGTTTTAATCAATATCTGTGTTGATTAATGTCTTTGTTATTGTCATTCATTTTGTGGACATTTTAGTGACCAGTTTTGTATTGCATATCTATCGTTTATATGAGATCCTTAGGTAGTTATAAATTATGTTATGACTTAATTGAATGGTAGTTCAAATAAATATATATTAATCCTCGGATCTAAATTTTGCACAAAATAACATCTGATTTGTTGTTATTAGTTTGTTTAGTTTGTTTAGTTTGTTTTTGTTTGTTTGTGTGGTGTTTTTATTTTTACTGAATACTATAAAAAATACCATAAAATATTGTCAACAACAGTTTTATTTCATTGATTAATAACATCTACAAACCTCTGAACTAATCTGCTGATGATAACTTTTATTTCATTCATTGCAAAATTTTGCCCAATACAATTCCTGAAATAAGAATAAGAATAAAAGCAGAAGTGGGGTTTTCGTCAATGAACCAACAGCCTAAATGTACTAACACAAAATCATATTATATTAAGTTGTAAATGAATTTAATCACATACGTACATAAAATCTCTTTATATAATATTTTATTTTACCCGAGTTCATATATAAATATGAATACAGAATCATTTTCTATAAAAATATAAAAGTATAGAGCATAAGGTGTAGTTCCTATCCGAACAAAGCAACATTATACAATTAATGTCTTTTGATGCGGTAAATATGTGGTTTAATTGACTTTTGAAAAAAAAAAATGATATTCACCGAGACCAACCATCAAAGTGAATATCAGTTTTTTAAAAGTTAATTATATTACATATTAATCGAAACCAAAGACAGTAATTGTAATATTCCGTATTCCGAGAGAGAACATGTATGTAATGACAATTATTTACCAAAACAATTGTACATCAAACGATTTTACCGTAATTATACAAGTCAAAATAAGCGACTATTGCGAAGTGAATATAAATTTTCCGCAGGTGAATATTTATAGAATAACTAATCCAAGAATTCAAATATAGAAAAAATATACATGTGAAATTATTCGGTTTTTATTTCACTGGTAAATCATGGTAATTCATTGCAACCAATGCAATAAACTGTTTTATTCAAAAACCAATACATATAGAAGAACCTACTAAAGTTCTATCAATATGGAATACATTGTTTAATTAAAACGAATTATTCGTTTATTCGGCTTTGAGCGTTCCTGTTGAAGGTAAATAAAGAAAAGCGTATCGGAAGCATGAACTCTAGTTTGTCTTCATTTTTTAACCCCTTTACCTTGATCCTGCAACTGATGTCTGTAAGGATGTCTGTCGTATGTTATCTCCCTTACTTTGATCCAGCAGCAAATGGTATGTAGCTGTAAGGATGTCTCTCGTATGTTATCTCACTTATCTTGATCCTGCAGCAAATGGTATGTACCTGTAAGGATTTCTGTCGTATGTTATCTCACTAACCTTGATCCAGCACACAAATGGTATGTAGCTGTAAGGATGTCTGTCGTATGTTATCTCACTAACCTTGATCCAGCAGTAAATGGAATGTAGCTGTAAGGATGTCTGTCGTATGTTATCTCACTAACCTTGATCCAGCCGCAAATGGTATGTAGCTGTAAAGATGTCTGTCGCATGTTATCTCACTAACCTTGATCCAGCAGCAAATGGTATGTAGCTGTAAGGATGTCTGTCGTGTGTTATCTCACTAACCTTGATCCAGCAGCAAATGGTATGTAGCTGTAAGGATGTCTGTTGTATGTTATCTCACTAACCTTGATCCTGCAGCAAATGGTATGTAGCTATAAGGATGTCTGTCGTATGTTATCTCACTAACCTTGATCCAGCCGAAAATGGTATGTAGCTGTAAGGATGTCTGTCGTATGTTATCTCACTAACCTTGATCCAGCAGCAAATGGTATGTAGCTGTAAGGATGTCTGTCGTTTGTTATCTCACTAACTTTGATCCAGCAGCAAATGGTATGTAGCTGTAAGGATGTCTGTCGTATGTTATCTCACTTACCATGATCATGCAGCAAATGGTATTTAGCTGTAAGGATGTCTGTCGTATGTTATCTCACTAACCTTGATCCTGCAGCAAATGGTATGTAGCTATAAGGATGTCTGTCGTATGTTATCTCACTAACCCTGATCCAGCCGCAAATGGTATGTAGCTGTAAGGATGTCTGTCGTATGTTATCTCACTAACCTTGATCCAGCAGCAAATGGTATGTAGCTGTAAGGATGTCTGTCGTATGTTATCTCACTTACCATGATCCAGCAGCAAATGGTATGTAGCTGTAAGGATGTCTGTCGTATGTTATCTCACTAACCTTGATCCATCAGCAAATGGTATGTAGCTGTAAGGATGTCTGTTGTATATTATCTCACTAACCTTGATCAAGCAGCAAATGGTATGTAGCTGTGGGAATGTCTGTCGTATGTTATCTCACTAACCTTGATCCAGCAGCAAATGGTATGTAGCTGTAAGGATGTCCGTCGTATGTTATCTCACTAACCTTGATCCAGCTGCAAGTGGTATGTAGCTGTAAGGACGTCTGTCGTATGTTATCTCACTAACCTTGATCCAGCAGCAAATGGTATGTAGCTGTAAGATGTCTGTTGTATGTTATCTTACTTTCCTTGATCCAGCAGCAAATGGTATGTAGCTGTAAGGATGTCTATTTTATGTTATCTTACTTACCTTGATCCTGCAGCAAATCGTATGTAGCTGTAAGGATGTCTGTCGTATAAAATCTCACTAACTTTGATCAAGCAGCAAATGGTATGTAGCTGTAAGGATGTCTGTCGTATGTTATCTCACTAACCTTGATTCAGCAGCAAATGGTATGTAGCTGTAAGGATGTATGTCGTATATTATCTCACTAACCTTGATCCAGCAGCAAATGGTATGTAGCTGTAAGGATGTTTGTCGTATGTTATCTCACTAACCTTGATCCAGCAGCAAATTGGTGTAGCTGTTGGGATGTCTGTCGTATGTTATCTCACTAACCTTGATCCAGCACACAAATGGTATGTAGCTGTAAGGATGTCTGTCGTATGTTATCTCACTCACCTTGATCCAGCAGCAAATGCTATGTAACTGTAAGGATGTCTGTCGTATGTTTTCTTTCTTACCTTGATCCAGCAGCAAATGGTATGTAGCTGTAAGGATGTCTGTCGTATGTTATCTCATTAACCTTGATCCAGCACACAAATGGTATGTAGCTGTAAGGATGTCTGTCGTATGTTATCTCACTCACCTTGATCCAGCAGCAAATGCTATGTAGCTGTAAGGATGTCTGTCGTATGTTATCTCACTAACCTTGATCCAGCAGCAAATGGTATGTAGCTGTAAGGATGTCCGTCGTATGTTATCTCACTCACCTTGATCCAGCAGCAAATGGTATGAAGCTGTAAGGATGTCCGTCGTATGTTATCTCACTAACCTTGATCCAGCAGCAAATGGTATGTAGCTGTAAGGATGTCTGTCGTATAAAATCTCACTAACTTTGATCAAGCAGCAAATGGTATGTAGCTGTAAGGATGTCTGTCGTATGTTATCTCATAAACCTTGATTCAGCAGCAAATGGTATGTAGCTGTAAGGATGTATGTCGTATATTATCTCACTAACCTTGATCCAGCAGCAAATGGTATGTAGCTGTAAGGATGTTTGTCGTATGTTATCTCACTAACCTTGATCCAGCAGCAAATGGGTGTAGCTGTTGGGATGTCTGTCGTATGTTATCTCACTAACCTTGATCCAGCACACAAATGGTATGTAGCTGTAAGGATGTCTGTCGTATGCTATCTCACTCACCTTGATCCAGCAGCAAATGTTATGTAGCTTTAAGGATGTCTGTCGTATGTTTTCTTACTTACCTTGATCCAGCAGCAAATGGTATGTAGCTGTAAGGATGTCTGTCGTAAAATATCTCACTAACCTTGATCCAGCACACAAATGGTATGTAGCTGTAAGGATGTCTGTCGTATGTTATCTCACTCACCTTGATCCAGCAGCAAATGCTATGTAGCTGTAAGGATGTCTGTCGTATGTTATCTCACTAACCTTGATCCAGCAGCAAATGGTATGTAGCTGTAAGGATGTCCGTCGTATGTTATCTCACTCACCTTGATCCAGCAGCAAATGGTATGAAGCTGTAAGGATGTCCGTCGTATGTTATCTCACTCACCTTGATCCAGCAGCAAATTGTATGTAGCTTTAAGGATGTCCGTCGTATGTTATCTCACTAACCTTGATCCAGCAGCAAATGGTATGTAGCTGTAAGGATGTCCGTCGTATATTATCTCCTTTTACCTTGATCCAGCAGCAAATGGTATGAAGCTGTAAGGATGTCTGTCGTATGTTATCTCACTAACCTTGATCAAGCAGCAAATGGTATGTAGCTGTAAGGATGTCTGTCGTATGTTATCTCACTAACCTTGATCCAGCCTCAAATGGTATGTAGTTGTAAGTATGTCTGTCGTATGTTATCTCACTAACCTTGATCCAGCAGCAAATGGTATGTAGCTGTAAGGATGTCTGTCGTATGTTATCTCACTAATCTTGATCCAGCCTCAAATGGTACGTAGTTGTAAGGATGTATGTCGTATGTTATCTCACTAACCTTGATCCAGCAGCAAATGGTATGTAGTTGTAAGGATGTCCGTCGTATGTTATCTCACTAACCTTGATCCTGCAGCAAATGGTATGTAGCTGTAAGGATGTCTGTCGTATGTTATCTCACTTACCTTGATCCAGCAGCAAATGGTATGTAGCTTTTAGGATGTCCGTCGTATGTTATCTCACTTACCTTGATCCTGCAGCAAATGGTATGTAGCTGTAAGGATGTCTGTCTTATGTTACCTCACTTACCTTGATCCAGCAGCAAATGGTATGTAGCTGTAAGGATGTCTGTCGTATGTTATCTCACTAACCTTGATCCAGCCGCAAATGGTATGTAGCTGTAAGGATGTCTGTCGTATGTTATCTCACTTACCTTGATCCAGCAGCAAATGGTATGTAGCTGTAAGGATGTCTATCAGTTATATCTTCCTTTAGAAACCTCTCCGGTTTAAATACCTGAAAATATAGCTTCATATATAATAAAAATAAAACAAATGATAAAACTATTTTGATTTTCATGCTTGTTTGATTGAATAACCAACAAATAGAAATTTCATGATAATCTATCATCATGATGCTGAAAATAGTAAAATTTAGCAATGCTGTGATACATTTTAACAGCCTTAACAAAAAAACAGTATCAGAGATTGAATTTATGCGCAATTACTGTCGTTTACATTTCAAATATCTAAACTGAAATTTAGTGAAATAAAGGTTACTTAATGCATCAAAATGTTGATGTTGCATGATCTTACAAATATGATTGCTTTATAACAAAATGTCACTACTTAAGTGACTTTTCTAGCTATCACCAAACATCAATTTTTCGAGGAGTTATTTTTTATCTTACATAGTTATAAAAGTTTTTCACACACATTTTCATTAATAATTGAATCTTTAAACCGAATTGGAATCTAATCTATGGAAGCGCATATGGTACACCCCTTGTAAAGTTATTTTGTTGCAAATAAGTTGGAATTATTAGTTAAGTTGTGTGTTATAAGCTGGATTCAAATCATCATGTGGAGACAACTTGTCGGAATAATGAAGAAAAAATTGTATTACAATGTCGACTTGCTAATATAAATGTAATGACATAGTAATAAGAAGTCGAAATGTTGAATTCAACTTGTTAACTGTTAAATTAAGTCGACAACTTGTTTATTTGATGATGAGGTAAAACCAAGTGACCATTTTGGAAAAACAGAAGTCTATTTTTAAATCGATTTCCATATGTCGTTTGTTTAATGTGCTTCGGATGAGTGTCGATATCCATTGAGTTCAAGTTCAAATTAAAGGTCGAGTTGTTGTTCAGAGTTATTTGTTATGAAAAGGGGGAACGGCAGTCAAATATCAATAAAAATGTACAAAAAAAATAATTATATTTCGGACATAAAGGGGGATATCCCCACACAACTTGGTCCGGCGTTTATTTTCCTTAGTTCTCAAATGGAATCGGTATTATAATAAATTCGTTGAGGATTCAACGGAACCCTCTGTCTCGCCTGAGATTGCTGCTGTTAGTGTAGAATTGTAATGTTGACAGTAAACAGTTTATTTTTCTGTGACATACAAAATTTGAAAACTAGTTTTAAAGATTAACTCCTTTACAAGTTTTATAAAAATTCATGGAGATTTACAAATTAATCTGGACAAAACAGTTTTATTTACTGCAAAAAATAAGAAGATGAGCAAAACCTTTACCGCATAATAAGCTATGAAAGAATCCGAAATGACATGTAAAACAACTCAAACGAGAAACCTATCGATCTTAATGACGCCAACGCCGACGCCACTACTACATAAAGTTAGGAGACGTGGTGTGATTGCCAATGAGACAACTAGCCACTAGATTTTAAATGAAGAGGAGGTAAGCAATCATAGGCAGCCGTACGGCCTTCAACAAATCGTATAGTCGGCTATAAAAGGCCACCACGTGGAAATATGAAATAATTCAATCGAGAAATGTGTAACGGCCCAATTTATAACAAATCAATTTACTAAAAACAAATATGAAACACATGAACCAACGAACACCATCGTACTACAGGCTCTTGACTTGGGACAGGCATATGCAGAATGTTGCGGAGTTAAACATATCTGTGAGCGCTAAACAGTAAGCCTAACCTGGGACCGTTGTGTAACAGCACAACAAAGACTATAAAATCAGTTGCAGCTGGCTAACTCAATATATCGGTATTACCGGCCAATATAAATTCATCAAAATCCAGCGTAGATCTCGATGCTCTCGAAGAATAGGCTGATCCTGTTCAACGATCTTCAACGTGAGTCACCTGTCGTGTTATTCGTGAAAATACAAACCCAGCGATTTAGTCTAATGCGGTAGGTCATCCTCGAGGAAAAGAGAACGGAATTGTGGTTACGACAATTGGATCATATATTATCCGTTGTTTCCCTGTAACTTGAGTGTGAGTTGATTAAAAGTGTTGTCTGCTCTATGATCGGGTTGTTGTCTCTTTGACACATTCCCCATTTCCATTCTCAATTTTATTTCATTTATTGACAACAAAATACAAGTATTTTGATTTGTGTCGATCCTGCGACATTAATGTCGCGGAAGTGAGACACAGCAAACCTTTATTCCGTCGTCGGTAATGGCGTCGGCGTCTTCGTCATTTAGATCCTTATGTTTCTCGTTTTGTTTTTTTTACATTTGTCATTTCGGGATCTTTCATAGCTTACCATGCGGTAAAGATTTTGTTTATTGTTGAGGACCATACAGTGACATATAGTTTTTAACTTCTCCATGATTTTGTATGTGATGGAGAGATGTCTTATCATACCACATCTTCTTATTTTTATTTAGGTATTTTTTTTTAGCAGTTAATAAAACTGTTTTGTCCTGATAAATTTGTCAATCTCCATGAATTGTTATAAAACTTGTATAGGAGTTAATGTTTTAGATCAAGATAAAGCATCTACAGAAAAAAAACTATTTTTTAAATTTTGTATGTTGCAGAAAAATTAACTGTTTACAGTCAACATTACAATTTTACACTGACAGCAGCAATTCAGGCGAGAAAGAGGGTTCCGTGGAATCCTCCACGAATTTATTATAAAACTGATTCCATTTGAGAACTAAAGAAAATAAACTGCCGGACTAAGTGGTGTGGGGATATCCCCTTATGTCCGAAATATTGTTATTTTTTTAGTACTTATTTTCTTATATTTTACTGCCTTTCCCCCTTTCATACCAAATAACTCTGAACATCAACTCGAACTTTAATTTTAACTTGAACTCAATCGATAGCGACACTCATCCGAAGCACATTAAACAAACAACATATGGAAATCGATTTAAAAATAGACCTATGTTTTTCCAAAATGGTCACGTGGTTTTACCTCATCATCAATTAACAAGTTGTCGACTTAATCAATTAACAAGTTGAATTCAACATGTCGACTTCTTATTACTATGTCATTACATTTATATTAGCATGTCGACATTGTAATGCAATTTTTTCTTCATCATTCCTACAAATTTACTTCAATATGATGTTTGATTCCAGCTTATAACACACAACTTAAATAATAATTCCGACTTATTTGCAACAAAATAACTTAACAAGGGGTGTACCATATGCGCTTCCATACTAATCAATGACAATTTTATGTAAAATATGTCGACATTCTATGGAAGTGCATATGGTACACCCCTTGTAAAGTTATTTTGTTGCAAAAAAGTCGGAATCATTAGTTAAGTTGTGTGTTATAAGCTGGAATCAAATCATCATGTGGAGTCAACTTGTCGGAATGATGAAGAAAAAATTGCATTTCAATGTCGACTTGCTAATATAAATGTAATGACATAGTAATACGAAGTCGACATGTTGAATTTAACTTGTTAATTGATTATATCGACAACTTGTTTATTTGATGATGAGGTAGAACCACGTGACCATTTTGGAAAAACATTATTCTATTTTTAAACCGATTTTCATATGTTGTTTGTTTAATGTGCTTCGGATGAGTGTCGCTATAAGTTCAAGTTCAAATTAAAGGTCGAGTTGTTGCTCAAAGTTATTTGGTATGAAAATGAGGAACGGCAGTCAAATATCAGAAAAAAAGTACTAAAAAATAATAATATGTCGGACATATTAAGGGGGATATCCCCACACCACTTGGTCCGGCGTTTATTTTCCATAGTTCTCAAACAGAAAAAGTTAAATAATTAATTTGCGAAGGATTCCACGGCACCCTCTGTCTCGCATGCGATTGCTGCTGTCAGTGAAAAATTGTAATGTTTACTGTAAACAGTTCATTTTTCTGTAACATACAAAATTTGAAAAATAGTTTTTTTTCTGTAGATGCTTTATCTTGATCTGAAAGAATAACTCCTATACAAGTTTTATAACAATTCATGGAGATTTACAAATTAATCTGGACAAAACAGTTTTATTTACTGCAAAAAATAAGAAGATGAGCAAAACCTTTACCGCATAATAAGCTATGAAAGAATCCGAAATGACATGTAAAACAACTCAAACGAGAAACCTATCGATCTTAATGACGCCAACGCCGACGCCACTACTACATAAAGTTAGGAGACGTGGTGTGATTGCCAATGAGACAACTAGCCACTAGATTTTAAATGAAGAGGAGGTAAGCAATCATAGGCAGCCGTACGGCCTTCAACAAATCGTATAGTCGGCTATAAAAGGCCACCACGTGGAAATATGAAATAATTCAATCGAGAAATGTGTAACGGCCCAATTTATAACAAATCAATTTACTAAAAACAAATATGAAACACATGAACTAACGAACACCATTGTACTACAGGCTCTTGACTTGGGACAGGCATATGCAGAATGTTGCGGAGTTAAACATATCTGTGAGCGCTAAACAGTAAGCCTAACCTGGGACCGTTGTGTAACAGCACAACAAAGACTATAAAATCAGTTGCAGCTGGCTAACTCAATATATCGGTATTACCGGCCAATATAAATTCATCAAAATCCAGCGTAGATCTCGATGCTCTCGAAGAATAGGCTGATCCTGTTCAACGATCTTCAACGTGAGTCACCTGTCGTGTTATTCGTGAAAATACAAACCCAGCGATTTAGTCTAATGCGGTAGGTCATCCTCGAGGAAAAGAGAACGGAATTGTGGTTACGACAATTGGATCATATATTATCCGTTGTTTCCCTGTAACTTGAGTGTGAGTTGATTAAAAGTGTTGTCTGCTCTATGATCGGGTTGTTGTCTCTTTGACACATTCCCCATTTCCATTCTCAATTTTATTTCATTTATTGACAACAAAATACAAGTATTTTGATTTGTGTCGATCCTGCGACATTAATGTCGCGGAAGTGAGACACAGCAAACCTTTATTCCGTCGTCGGTAATGGCGTCGGCGTCTTCGTCATTTAGATCCTTATGTTTCTCGTTTTGTTTTTTTTACATTTGTCATTTCGGGATCTTTCATAGCTTACTATGCGGTAAAGATTTTGTTTATTGTTGAGGACCATACAGTGACATATAGTTTTTAACTTCTCCATGATTTTGTATGTGATGGAGAGATGTCTTATCATACCACATCTTCTTATTTTTATTTAGGTATTTTTTTTTAGCAGTTAATAAAACTGTTTTGTCCTGATAAATTTGTCAATCTCCATGAATTGTTATAAAACTTGTATAGGAGTTAATGTTTTAGATCAAGATAAAGCATCTACAGAAAAAAAAACTATTTTTTAAATTTTGTATGTTGCAGAAAAATTAACTGTTTACAGTCAACATTACAATTTTACACTGACAGCAGCAATTCAGGCGAGAAAGAGGGTTCCGTGGAATCCTCCACGAATTTATTATAAAACTGATTCCATTTGAGAACTAAAGAAAATAAACTGCCGGACTAAGTGGTGTGGGGATATCCCCTTATGTCCGAAATATTGTTATTTTTTTAGTACTTATTTTCTTATATTTTACTGCCTTTCCCCCTTTCATACCAAATAACTCTGAACATCAACTCGAACTTTAATTTTAACTTGAACTCAATCGATAGCGACACTCATCCGAAGCACATTAAACAAACAACATATGGAAATCGATTTAAAAATAGACCTATGTTTTTCCAAAATGGTCACGTGGTTTTACCTCATCATCAATTAACAAGTTGTCGACTTAATCAATTAACAAGTTGAATTCAACATGTCGACTTCTTATTACTATGTCATTACATTTATATTAGCATGTCGACATTGTAATGCAATTTTTTCTTCATCATTCCTACAAATTGACTTCAATATGATGTTTGATTCCAGCTTATAACACACAACTTAAATAATAATTCCGACTTATTTGCAACAAAATAACTTAACAAGGGGTGTACCATATGCGCTTCCATACTAATCAATGACAATTTTATGTAAAATATGTCGACATTCTATGGAAGTGAATATGGTACACCCCTTGTAAAGTTATTTTGTTGCAAAAAAGTCGGAATCATTAGTTAAGTTGTGTGTTATAAGCTGGAATCAAATCATCATGTGGAGTCAACTTGTCGGAATGATGAAGAAAAAATTGCATTTCAATGTCGACTTGCTAATATAAATGTAATGACATAGTAATACGAAGTCGACATGTTGAATTTAACTTGTTAATTGATTATATCGACAACTTGTTTATTTGATGATGAGGTAGAACCACGTGACCATTTTGGAAAAACATTATTCTATTTTTAAACCGATTTTCATATGTTGTTTGTTTAATGTGCTTCGGATGAGTGTCGCTATAAGTTCAAGTTCAAATTAAAGGTCGAGTTGTTGCTCAAAGTTATTTGGTATGAAAATGAGGAACGGCAGTCAAATATCAGAAAAAAAGTACTAAAAAATAATAATATGTCGGACATATTAAGGGGGATATCCCCACACCACTTGGTCCGGCGTTTATTTTCCATAGTTCTCAAACAGAAGAAGTTAAATAATTAATTTGCGAAGGATTCCACGGCACCCTCTGTCTCGCATGCGATTGCTGCTGTCAGTGAAAAATTGTAATGTTTACTGTAAACAGTTCATTTTTCTGTAACATACAAAATTTGAAAAATAGTTTTTTTTCTGTAGATGCTTTATCTTGATCTGAAAGAATAACTCCTATACAAGTTTTATAACAATTCATGGAGATTTACAAATTGATCAGGACAAAACAGTTTTTCTTACTGCAAAATAAACCAAATTTTCCTGTTCCCTAGTATCTAAGTACACGAGTAGAATCGTAGTGAATTACCGGTATACACAAAGAAAGCGCACGGGAAAGAATCCGCATGCTTTATAAAAATAAGAAGATGAGCAAAACCTTTACCGCATAGTAAGAATCTGAAATGACATGAAAAACAACTCAAACGAGAAACCTTAGGATCTAAATGACGAAGACGGCGACGCCACTACTGAATAAAGTTAGAAGATGTGGTGTGATTGCCAGTGAGACAACTAGCCACCAGAGTTTAAATGAAGAAGATGTAAGCAATCATAGGCAGCCGTACGGCCTTCAGCAAATCGTAAGTATAGTCGGCTATAAAAGGCCACCACGTTGAAATGTGAAACCATTCAAACGAGAAATGTAACGGCCTTATCTATAACAAAACAATTTACGAAAAACAAATATGAAACACATGAACCAACGACAATTCAGGCTCTTCAGGCTCTTGACTTGAGATATGCATATGAAGAATGTGGCGGAGTTAAACATGTCTGTGAGTGCTCAACCCTAACCCTAACCTTGGACCGCCGTGTAACAAAAGCTATAAAAATCAGTTGCAGCTGGCTAACTCAATAGATCGATATTACTGGCCAATATGAATTAATTAAAATCCGGCGTAGATCTCAATGCTCCTGAAGAGTAAGCTGATCCTACTCAAAGTGAGTCACCTGTCGTGTTATTCGTGAAATTACATACCCAGTTATTTGGTCTAATGCGGTAGGTCATCCTCGAGGAAAAGAGGACGGAATTGTGGTTACGACAAATGGAACATATATTATCCGTTGTTTCCCTTTAAAGTGAGTGTGAGTTGATTAAAAGTGTCTCATTTTTTGACAACAAAGTACAAGTCATTTGATTTGTGTAGTACCTGAGACATTAATGTCGCAGAAGTGAGACACAGCAAACCTTTATTCCGTCGTCGGTAATGGCGTCGGCGTCTTCGTCATTTAGATCGTTCTGTTTCTAGTTTTTTTTTACATTTGTCATTTCGGGTTCTTTCATAGCTTACTATGCGGTAAGGATTTTGCTCATTGTTGAAGACCATACCAGTGACATATCGTTCTCCGTGATTTGGTATGTGATGGAGAGATGTTTTATTGGCCATCATACCACATCTTCTTTTTATTAAGCATGCGGATCCTTTCCCATGCGCTTTCTTTGTTTCTTTGTGTATACCGGTAATTCACTACGATTTTACTCGTGTGCTTAGATACTAGGGAACAGGAAAGAAAAGAAAGTAAAATTAGGACACAAAGTCGGTAAGTTGAAAAAGAAATTATTTTATATACCATTTTCGCATGTTGAAAATGAATTTCTCCTCAGTTGTGCCTGTTGACCAGTTATAACATCATTAGTCAGAGAAGGATTAATTCCGTTATGAGTAAGCAAGCATTTCAAAAGAATACTAACAGGGTTTCCTATTGCATGTTTCAACCTCTTAACTTATAAAATCAAACGGTAAATAAAGGTTAAATTGTTACCTCGTGTTCAGGCCAAACATCTGGATGATGATGAATCGAGTGAATGCTGATATCTATATGAACACCAGCTGGTACAATAATGTCACCAAATTGCATCGGTGACGTAAGCAGACGGGCTGTTCCCGGCACTGGTGCAAACATTCTCATTGATTCTTTCACAAAAGCTGTGAGGTAAGGCATCTCCTGAAGATTTTCCCTGAATTAAAGACATTGTTGACAGGTCATCAGAAGGTCATCACAAAGTATGGCACATATATCTATGAAATTACATCCGTCAGATGTTTACACGACACTATTCTGCCAGATATCAAGCATAACGTTGCATTTCATCTAACATATTTGCTTCAGGACGCTAAACTTCTTGAATTATAATATAATATCATTCCTGTACTGCACGGTACTAAATTGACATGTTTATTTAACAATCGATATAATTTTGAAAGATTGAAGAACGTTTTCAACATTTACAAATTAAGAGGCCAAATTATGTCTATTTTCTTTAATTTAAATACATACGTATACTCGACTTAGATAACAAACAAAAAAAACACACACACAATTAGTTGACAAATCCTGGCAATTTGTAAGTCTAAAGTATCAATATATTCTACATCTGGGACCAGCCAGTGAAATAATGACATGGATTCCAGATTGACAAACCATGTACTGTTCTGTTCATGACATAAATTACCATGAAAATAAAACTATAGTTTAAGTACTGAGTTTTGTGATTTATTAAAACTGAAAATGAAAAGATACAAATTTGACCATCAACATTTATAATACGAAGAAACAGAGATAAGATTGTGGATGTAACAGAAAAATAACAACCATTGTCTTTGAAATTTCACACGGTAAAGTATGTAACATAAACAGGAAATGTTCAGTTAAGTTAAATACATTCTCGTAAACTCATGTGCATTGAAAGGAGAGTATTCCCCGCCAGATAATTATTCAATGATATTTTGTGGTGTCTATTGTTTAAAAAAAAATCATCACCCTGTTTTATTTTTAATAAGACGTACCACGTTACCTCTAATTTATCTACTAATAACTCTGATATTTCAGTATATACTTTTTCCTGCTCTTCAGGATATCTTCCTAAACAGTATATAGACCAGCTAATTGCAGAAGCTACGGTGTCGTGACCTGCAAAGAACAAGTATGCCCAAATAGCCATTCGTGTACCTTTAAAGATACCTTGTACAGCATTGTAGCTTGATTACCATGAAATTTGGACTTGTCTTAGTTAGCTTGTCACAGAAAATGTTAACAGAACAAACTGTTTCTAGAAAGAAAGTCAAAGCAGAAATGATACGCAGCCTTCTCAAAGATAAAAAGAAAAAGCATTGTAAAAAATTCTTTAATTTCACCTTCAGATATATTGATGATGTTCTGTCACTTAATAATCCATATTTCATTGGGTGCTTGCTACTAATATATGCCAGTGAAGATCAGCAAAAGAGCAATACGGGGTTATGTCATTAGTGTTAACAGCTTGTTCTGCCAGAGTATACTGAGTTTAACTCCGTCAAATGGTCAGAGTTTGTATTGCTTATTATTTTAAAATTAACTACTCTGTTATTGGACTTAATATGATGAAAACTGCCTATGCAATATAAAAGTGTCAACTCGGCCAATACAGAATCACTCGGCCAATATTGATTTTTTTTCTTAATTGACCGAGTTCTGATCCGGCCAATACATGATTTTGGAACGTCTCTAGTTTTTAGATCGAAACGCAAACACAAAGGTAAACAGTACCACAAACATGCCGAAACGTTCAGTGTGGCATATTTTTCAAGCTGAAGACGGTCACATTCATTTAAAAAGCATTTTGTAAGCAGACAATTGAATTATTTCAGGTTTGGGCAACGAGTACATTATCACAAAGTTCATTTCTTGTCGACTTCAGTACAAATTGATTTACTCTTTACTTTTGCTTCTAATGAGTAATGTTTTGTAAACTGTCATTTGTTTTTCAACCCGATGCAGGCATATGCATTGTTGAAGGGTGACCTGTAATTGTTCAAGTCTTCATTCTTCGGTCAGTTGGTTTATGGATAGTTGTATCATTTTCAATCATATTCAACTCCTATATATTTTTTTTAAAGAAACCTTTTGTTTCTGCATTACACATGTAATGGCAGTACCTTTATAATGATGCAAACATGCGTGATATTTAAAGATAGTATTTACTAATAAATTACAAATAAAGTTTTGTTAAATAATGGAAAAATGCACAGAAGTTAAGGAGAATATTTATTACAAAATAAGTAAACCAAGAAATGAACGTAAATAAAACAAATAAAACAAGTTTAAGAAAGTTTAATTTGTGTATAGAACAATTTCCTAAAATTATCATGTAAGTGTTTTATCTTTTAAAACATACTCAATAACGTTGTCTCAAACATATCCACCCGGCTAATTGATAAATGTGTCAGCTTAGAAGGCAAAACGATAATTATACATACTTTTTGAAATTAATAGACTTGAACAATTAAGATTAAGTAATTCTACCCATATCCGACATATTCAATTGTTTATTTAGAATAGATCAAAGAAAGCCATTGTAATGAGTAACAAAATATTCACGTGTCAGATTAAGTCCAGTTCTGCTATATAAAGTCGTGCAAAATTATTTGGTTCATTAGATTGTGAACCAGAATAAAAATGTAGTTAGCAGACTGGATTGTCTTTTAGGTTAGTAAATATTTTACTGTTGTTTGATGGAATGCTTTATAAATTTACAAGAAACGAGTTTAAAGATTTAAAAGATGTTTTCCAGTAAAGTAAATTTTATTCATATTCGCAAGTAAAATCGTGATATAGATTAAATAAATTGTAGGCAAAGTTAAAAATAATATTAAGGTAAATGAATTAAATAAAAGGTTCTTAACTTATTAAATGGATATTTAACTTCTTTGTAAAGATAACTTTTGAAAATACAATTCTTATTTTGATACTTGATTAAATATTAAAAGTAAACGAGTTAAGGGGAGATAACAAATGACTTGACTGTTCATTTATGGCGCGTATATGCTATTGTCGGGTTTTGTATTATTGTTCGATTTATATCGCGGAATATTTGGTGTATAACTATGTTGGGAAAAGAAATGTAATTTGTATTGTAACTGTTGTAAATATGATTAGATTGTGAACCAGAATAAAAATGTAGTTATTAGACTGGATTGTCTTTTAGGTCCTGTTGTCATGCCGAGTCCAAGCTAGTTCCCAAATAATGTAACATCAATATGAGTAGTTCCCCGCAAAAAGAATTGATAAAAACATGAAAGAAAGACTACAACACAGATTACAAAGACGGGACCAAGTTTCCGCATAATATATTTTGGTGGAGGCGAAGTGGTAAAATCATCGGTACCTACAACATGAAAAAATGGACTTCGGCACAGTTCGACAAATTACAACTTGCAGTCAACTGATGGACAACTAAAGAAAAAGAACAGGACAACATAATATAAATCAAGAGAACATCATGGCCGAACCACAAGGTAATGTACATTTTAATTATTCCAACATTATTACACCTCCTATGTACAATGGTTCGGGAAACCCGTCAAATTGGTTAATATACTTTAAAAAATGGATCAAAATTAATTCAATATCAAACGAAAGCGCTTGTCATTACTTGCCGTTTTATTTGAAAGAATCTGCTAAAGTTTGGTTTGATGGTTTAAATGAAAATATTCAGGATAATACAGAAAACTTAGAAATAGGTTTAGTTGAACGTTTTTCAGGAGATAAAGACGATATAGAATTAGATGTAAAACAAAAGGCAAATGAATCTGTTTTAGAATTTTTCGACAGACTAAAAATAATTGCAAAGGATTCAGAAATACCTGAACATTTAGAATTTATTATGGGTAAAAAGGGATTATTATCTAAATTAACTACTAGTATAGTTTTGAGTAACCCGAAAAATCTGAATGAATTAAAACAGGCGGCAGTAACAGCTCAAAAATGTGCAAACGTACGTCAAATGATAGAAAATTCTGATTGTTCAAATTTAAATATAATAAAGCAAAATAAAGATCTAGATGAAATAACTGAGAAAATAGAAACATTAAATTCAAAAATAAAAGAACAGATGCCAGAGGTAAATGCGTATAGAAATAACAAAGTCAATATGATAACAAAGCAAAATCATGTTTGTAAATATTGTGGTATGTCATATTACCATAAAAACCATAATTGTAAAGCAAGAAATAAGGAATGCTTTAATTGTTAAAAGGTAGGACATTTAGCAAGAGTCTGTTTTACTAAATCATTTAGAAATGTGGTAAAAACTAAAAGTTTTAAAAGTAGACAGAAACCACACAAGAAGAAGAGAGAAACTATTTTTATAAATCTAATGACTAATATTGAAGGAAATACTGTAGATGTTGATATATTAGGGATTAAAACAAAAGGATTGATTGATACAGGAGCTGCTGTATCGTGTATTTCAAGTTCTTTATTTAATAAACTAGATAAAACTAAAATAAAAGTAAACTTGTCAAAGATACATAATGTTTATGGTGTAGGCGGTGAAGGAATTTCTGTCAAAGGACAGGTAAAACTTCCACTAAAATTTGATAAAGAGCCAGTTCTTTACCAGAATGTTTACATAATTGATAAAATTCAACACTCTTTAATAATTGGAAATGACTTTTTGGAATATAATAAAGCTAACATTGATTATCCTACAAAAACTTTAAACTTGTATGATGGAATTGCACAGATCGCACTCATAAGTACTAAACAAAATGAAGCTATAACTCAAAAATACATTGAGCTTCCAGCTAGGAAAATAAGCATTATTCCTGTTAAAATTCCTAAACAATATGTAGGAAAGCAAATAGTACTTGAACCCAGCCAATCTTTACAAAATAAAAGCATTGTAGGTGCTGCTTGTCTAGTGTCGCCTTCAAAACAACAAGCAGTAATGCAAGTTATAAACCCAAATGATGATAAAGTGGTGCTAAACAGAAATGAAATTGTTGCTTCAATATCAGAAATACAACCGAACTCTATTCAAAATTGGACTGATAAAAATGAAAAATTTCACATAAATAATATTGAAAAGGGTCATAAAAAGCAAAAACAAAACTTAAACATTGATCTTTCTGAATCAGACTTAACATATGAGCAAAAGGAAAAATTAAGAAAATTTGTTGATAAAAATAGAAGTGTTTTTGCAACGGATCTGTCTGAAATTGGCATGACAGATGTACACTATCATGAAATTGACACTGGGAACAACCCTCCTGTAAGTTTACCACCCAATATCAGGACAGAGATTGAAAGACAAGTTGAAGAGATGTTGAAGTACAAAATTATTGAGCCTTTTAATTCTATTTGGCATAGCCCCGTTTGTCTCACTCGTAAGAAAGACAACAGTTGGCGATTTTGCGTTGATTATAGAAGGGTTAATGCTTTTACTTCCCCAATGCATTCTACGCTTGGGAACATGCATGATGTCTTTGATACTATGGGAGAAATGCAACCACAGATATTTAGTTCTATAGATTTATCTTCATCTTTTTGGCAGGTGCCCTTGCACCCAAATTCTAAACAAAAAGCAGCATTTATAACTCATTCTGGAATCTATGAATTGAATAGAATGCCGTATGGTCTACGTAATAGTAGTATAGCTTTTTCTCAGGTCATGTCACAAATATTGAGAGGATTGCACTGGAAATATGTACTTGCATATATTGATGATATTTTGATTTTTAGTAAAACATTTGAAGAGCATCTGCAACATCTTGAAGAAGTATTTACTAGATTACGAAAAGCAAATTTTACACTAAAGCCACAAAAATGTCACTTTGCTGTTAAGAAAGTCAATTATCTAGGTCACATTATTTCAAAAGACGGTGTCAAGGTAGATGATTCCAAAATTAATATTGTTAAAAACTATCCGAGGCCTAAAAATCAGCACGAGGTCAGACAGTTCTTAGGTCTGTGTAATTACTATAGACGTTTTGTAAAGGACTATGCTAAAATCACAGTTCCATTGAATAATCTTTTACAAAAGACAAAGAATATGTTTGGACTGATAAATGTCAGATTTCGTTTGAAAATCTTAAACAGGCTTTGACAACTGCCCCTGTTCTGTCGTATCCAGATATGTCTAAACCATTTAT